GTATTCTCAAGGAGTTGGTTGGACATGTTTACAAGGCTCACTCCAATAAAGAAATATACACTGGAGATAAGGATGGAATTGTAAAGGGAATGCTTTCAGAGTCCGAGTTGAAAAAGATTTGTAATAAACAACTTGATCCCATCGAAAAAGAGCTAAAAATTACAAATATCGCAACAAAATTGCTGAAGCTTTTTGTGGAGCTCACAATAGCTACTCCAATAGATGATAAATATTTCATACCAGCTCTCCTTCCAGTGAAAGATGTTACAGATATCAATCCTTATAAGGATCGTGAGCCATTGCTGTTTTACTTTGAAAAGGCAACCCCAATGGGTCTGTTCTGCTCTGTCATCACTCGTCTACTTTCCAGCCCTTGCTACAAAATTGCTTCGATAGAAAGTAATTTCTCTAATTACATTGAATTGAAATATCGTACAGAAGGAGTCGCGTCATTCTACATTGTTCTAGTTGAACAGGTCAATTGCATTGAAGTCCATTGTGAGGAACAGAGAGGTGAAGGGATAGTAAGGGAAGATGTAAGAGAAGCGATCACTTTAGCAGCTGAAAAACACAATCTCAGTGACAGTCATAGGATTCCAGATCTCCGATTTTATTGTCCATGTAAGCGTGGCCCTGGAAGTGCTGGTACTAGAGGAAGTGCTAGTGCTCATGAAGGACAAGGTACTGGTCCTGATGAAAGTGGAACTGATGGAGGTGGTGCTAACAGTGGAGGAGGTGTGTCAAAAGGGAAGAAGCATACAGTTGAAGTTGAGACAGTCAATAAGGAGCATATCTTTCGATGCAGTGAAAACCCACGCATTAAATGTGAAGATAAGAAACAGTTATGGAGCTCCTGGCTTGACGGTAAGTTATTTACATATTATTATATCTATTATTGCTATTATTATTGATTACATGTATATTATTGTGAATGACCTGCTGGTTATTTTTTCCACAGCTGGTGCAAACACTCCCATTTCTATTGATGAGCCAAATTCTCCAACAAAGCGAAGTAAATTACAGTACATTACTATTAATTCATTGATGCTAATTTTAATATAAAGGTACTGTGAAAAGACATCTATCTGAGACAGAGAGCTCTGGTTCTTCACAATCTAAACGTAGACATGTTGATGAGGAAACTGATAGTAAATGTCTTTTGTTTAATTGTGTATTATGTACATGCATGTACAGGATGATCCGATAATATATTACATGTATTTTTAAATCTGCAGGCAAGAAGCTTTCTAAGGAAACAGTCCAAAGAATATTTCATTTTTCTGCTCACCATTACAGACTGATAGGGACTGGATTGGGTGTAGATGTAGCTGATCTGAAAGATACAGATAAAGCAACTAATAATCTTATTCAAGTCTTTCAGAGGTGGTTTGATGCCAATAAAAATGTCAGTTGGGGTACTCTAAGAGAACTTTGTGAAGAGGACTATCCTAATGATCTGGGCCAAGCAAAGGCTAAACTAAATAAAGTACTTGACAGCCAGTCTTCTTAAAAGAATGATGCCAGCTCCTCATATTTTAATTATTAAAATGATGTTTTTTCTATTGTTTACATAAATAAAAAACATTAAAAATGGAAATGTAGTAGGATTGAATTGGGAAAAAGTAAAGAAGCAAGAGGGAACTTGCAAACTGGTGTGGTGAAAAATCCTACACTACTAGTGGCATGAGAAAGCATTAGTGATAATTGTATGTGCATATAAATTAAAATGGTGTCAAACCACAAACCCACGTGGTGACCGTGACTGTAGTCTTCCATTTCATTCTCTGTCTTTGCTTCTTTTTGAAACTACCTTTCCAGTCCTTGACCCAAGCACAAAGGAATGATGTAAAAGCTGCAACTTGAGCAGTTCTCTAAAGTCTGAAGAATTTTGCAGAAATTAGAATTTGGGCCTGTTCTCCAAAAATGCTCCCACTACATCACAGTGAATACAGTCCACTTTAAAGGTGCCAGGAGAATCGCTCAGTAATGAAGAGCTCATCTAAGCCATTTATAAGGCTGTACAACGTTTAAAGTGATGCCAACGTTTTAAATGGTACCATCTTGAAACCAATCCACATGTAGGCTACCACCTATATACACTGTACGTGTAATAGTACAGGGACTTTGACTTGATTTTGAAGGAATTCAATAAACGCAAATAATCTAAATTTAATTGGAATCAGCTCAAACTTTCTACACAGCATAAGTACATGTATATGCATCAGGAAATGTGATGATGATGAATTCTCTCATTTTTAGTTTTGGCAAAATTTGACCCGTGACCCTGTAGTACAGTAGAGGGACTTCAACCCAATTGTGGAGCAACTTCAAAAATTTGTAACAATTCAATTTTGATTGGAGTCAGTTCAAACTTTCTATGTAACATAAATATATGTATATGCATCAGGAAATGTGACAAAAGTGAAAAATTCATCTTTTGTAAAACTTGGCCTGTGACATGTATACATTATGTAAAGGTACATGTGTACATATACAATCAGCCAGTAATTCCTCACCTTATACACTTCCTTATACACATCAGGTAGCCCTACAGTCTGAGACACTAGCCAGGTTGGTAGAGAAGGTGTGGAATGCTGCTAGTAGT